CAGACACCTTAATACTATGGCTTGTGTATAATAAAATCTAGGTCACAAATGAAAATGGTCCTTGTATCAAACAACTTTTAAATAATACATAATGATTTCTATAATGTTCGCATATACTATTATATATAAAGAGAAACCGTTGCTTGACGTTTTGCTTGCCATGAAATTGTAGATGACCCCAACATGAATAAATGTGCCGAAGTTGATCTCCTTGTTTCTAAATCTCCGGCATAATCAGAATCTGTGATATTCTCAAATCTAAATTATTATCAGATTTATAAACCAATCCGTAATAAATTGTATGTTTTACGTAACGCATAATGCGTTTGACCATTGATCAATGAGCATTAGTTGGTTTTGCCAAAAATCGTGACACAAAATTGACTGCAAATGCCAAATCTGATCTTGTTAATTGTGACAGGAATAATAAACTTCCCACAGCTTCTCGATACGGTACTTGACCTTCTACTAGTACTGTTGAATCCGCGTGAACATCCAATGTCGTTGACTTATCAATGGGTATTGCAATTTCCTTTGCATCTAACATATTAATACGTTTAATAATATTTCTAGAATAATTTATTTGACAAATAAATAATGATCTATCATCTAACATCTTAATTCCCATACCTAGAAAATAATCCATGGTACCAGTTTAACCTTTTTTTCAAACTTTGACAATAATACCTGTATTTTTGTTTTACTGGCTGACGCAATGAGACCATCATCAACAAAAATAGCCAAAAATTTAATTTTCCATTATTATCATGATAAGTAAAAACCCACGAATCATATTTACTTTGAATTAAATTGAATTGTAATAGGACATTTTTAAACCTTGAATTCCAACATCGTCGAGATTATTTTAATCCATACAACGATTTACGTAATCTGCAAACTCAACCTAAATTGTCATCAAATTCGATCGGTTGTTCTATATATAATTCGTCTTCTAACATACCATAAGAAATTTTGTACCAGTGTCAAATTGGCATAATTCCAATGTCTGAGACGCTATTATGGCCAAAATTGTTCTGATAGATTCAAATATGACTACAGGTGAGAATGTCTCGTTATAATTTATTCCGTGTCTCTGTCGAGAACCTTTTACAACTAATCGTGCCTTAAATCTAACAATATGCCCGTTAACATTGTATTTGATTTTGTAAACCCATGAACTATTTAACACTTGCTTTCCTACTGGAGTTGGCACTAACGTCCAGGTGTCATTAGTATGCAATGAACTTATTTCGTCGTCTATGGCTTGAATACAATTATTTTTGTACTCATAACTCACAGCTTCATTTTAGTTTATTGGTACGAATGTCCAAGCAGTGACAAAATGGGTTAATTTGAAAAAAAATATAAGGACCTAAACTTACTAAGATTAAATAATGGTGAGCAATTTCGACAGATGGGATGAATAGAGGAGGAGAAGTGGTCTCGATAAAGAAAATAAACAGCCTGTATATTAAGCCAATACATATTATGATTGAAAGTAATAATATCATTTATAATAGCGAACAAAAACTTCTTAGTACATAGTACAGTAAATTATTTGACAGTTTTTATATAAGTGTGGCATCCAAAAACATTTAAAAATATGAACAGAAAAAATGTATAATTTATTAAAATAAACGCGGGAGGATAAAAATGATTTAATTTAAACAAGGGATTATGCTATCCCCTGTCAAATCGTGGTTTTCGTTGTTTACAAAACATATATCGCCCTCATAGAATGCGCATGAGATTTTTATGTGCTCTTTATGACGTATAACACAAACTTCGCCTACAACATCAGCATTTGTTGTGTATTCATCTGGAAATCTCATACTCCAGAACAATCCTATGATTCGACATGTGTGTGTAAAATCTATAGGGTTGGTCCTATGTTCTGAAAAAAAGTTTACAAAAGTTAGCCAAACTAAAATTAAGGCTAATTTTATATCCCCACCCAAGAGAAAATGTGTATTCAGACACAAAATGTAAATTTTACAGGAGAAACAATAAAATTACTTATTAATAAATTAATAATTATTAACTTTTTCTTCCTAAACCTATTAACCTTACACACTTTATCATCACCCAACTGCATTAATTGTCTTACCCTTTAACATTCTCCAAAATTAAACACTGTTGTCACCGTTTTACTCCTTCTAATCCTCAGTCCTTTCTATTTAAGTTTCTCAGCCACTTCTACCGGACTACCCCCACTAACGCTACGTCATCTGTAAACTACATACCCCGAGGCACCTCCCCTGTATATCTTTCGTAATCTCGTCCATTATTAAAGAGAACAAGTAAGGACTCAACGCTATACCTGGATGCACAACTACTCTCACACTAAAATCTTCCATTTCTCCACACACAGTCTTCACTCTTGTACTTGCCCGTACATACATTTCTTCTATTACACTAACTTACACCCTTCGCACTCAATTTTTCTTAAACGTCCACCTCTAAACCTCTCATTAATAAAAAACTAACTAATTAGCTTAAATAAATGAACTTAGAAGGACCCATCTAAGAGTCTAAACGTCATATAAGATGAATATAAAGGCAGGGATTAGAGCATGAAATTTAAATCTAGGTGAACCAAAAATCCTGAAAATTTAAATTGTGTAATGTTTGTTGGTACGAATATGCATTTTTTCCTTGTAACTACTCATTTTATTATTAGTTTATTATTTACTGTCTCTTATATCGGTTATAAACAATCTTAAAGCTATTTTCATCATATTTCTTCGAACAACTCCAAGATCATTCTCAGTTGCACCACGACCACTAACTAAAAAATTCAATCAATTTGTTATACAAAGTAAAAATAATTTTGTAAAGGGTCTTTCTAGTGGCATTTTTGTAACCTCAGTTAACACGGCAAAATTTCAAATTTAAAAATTACATTTTTCGAAAAACAGACTATTAACAAACAAACGAATCGTTAAAATATGTTTTTATTGGAGTTTTAAGTTCACATGGTGTCTATTTAAAAAAAAAGTTATTCGAAAATCTATTATTTTTCAACCAAATAATAATTTATTCGACTTGTATGTTACTTAAAAAAATCAATTGTTTAATGACAAATTCTATGTATTAATCTAGCTAGTAACAGTGATCAAAGTGAAGATAAAATAAAAAACTTTAAGCAACAGTAGAGTAATTAATTTCAAACACTTTTTGTGATATTTTTTATAGTAAGGTGATGTGCGGTAACTAAAATTACTGGCATAATTTTTCACTGACAATTAAAATGCTAATTGATATAAATATCACATACAAATATTGACTAGTGAATACTAGCTGATACTATTTTTTTATTAAAATAACTAAAAACAAATAATTTTTTTTGTTTAATATTTGTATGGTAGATATAAATGGGTATATTGGGATTTGTAGTCAAAACGTGTAACGTTATAAGTTTAAAAGTTTAATGAAAGTATCATTTTTTTGCGTTCAGTTGGAGGTAAAGATTTTTGAACGTTAAAATATATAGCATTTAAATGAACGTATAGTTGTTGACCAAATATTTGTATTATGTTATGTTTAGTTAAATATAAACTTGTAAATTGAACTTTAAATTTTAACAGTTCATTACAATTACGTTACGAAAACTTGGATTGACTTAACATAAACGACCGATTGATCATCTAGATTTTAAGCGCTATTTACGACTGCCGAATAAAGTGTAATTACCTTGATATGTAACCTTATTCGCATCAAGGCCTGTAACAAAAACATCATATGCAATAAATAATTGTACGATTATTGAAAATAAGTATTTTATTAGATCTAAGAAAACAATTTATAAGAAAAAAGTAGTAGGAACCTAATTGAAAATGTTTAGAAAATCTGGTAGTTTTGGGGAACCATAATGCTAAAATAAATTTATAGGGCCAATGTTAAAAAAACTAAGCTTGCCCAAACACTCCACGCTATAATGTTATTTCATTAAGAAAAAGTACTAGAGTCCTATGTGTAAAACGTGTAGATATATTATCTGGTTATTAATAGTTGCGGCGGCCGATCAGTTTTTACGAATTTTCCATTATTTCATTTATTTTTTCATTTTATTTCATTAATTTTTTTGTGTACATTTGAGTATTCAGTGTGAACTTTACGATTAATTAACGAGAGTACACCTATAGGCGGCTAAGACTCGTACAAAAATTCGATACAAAAGTGCCAAATTCGTTCTATTAAAATTCATACTATTAGTTGAACAATAAATTGAAAAATTGGTATTCACAAATTAAATTAAGTATTGCGCATAAGAATCAAACATATTTTTTATAATTTTTTTTAAAGTAAAAGTGAATGTGAATCACAGTTATTTTTAATTACCTGAAATTTTAACTATCAGTTTTGTAAAGTGTTTGATAAAACATGTTAAATTTTATAATTACCAAATTCTCTGTTTAATTCTAGTGTCAGTTCATCCTCCAATGCCTTCTCTATAATTTAAACCATAAATTGTTTATATATGTCTACTATTGTTATGGCAAAATTAATATGCATACGATTTTTTTTATAATTAAAAAAATAATGTAAAAGCCATTTGTAATGTATAATGTATTATGAATATGAAATATGAATTACGGTATTGTAAGTCCTCGTTAATATCTTTTTCTGAAATTAAAACGAAAACATTTTGTACTGGTGAATAACCAACAAGTATATGGAAATATTTTCAATTATTACCAGGTAGTGCAAACATAAAAGTCAATTTCTCTGAAATTATAAGAACAAAAAAATTATTTTTTAAACGATATTTGACTTAATTTCATCTTCCATTATAAATTTAAATAAAGAAGTCAAGGTATAAAATACACGTTTAATACTAATAAGGAAGTTAAATTTACAAATAAATATTGAATGATTTAAATTTAATATTTATGTCACTTATTAATTCGCATTGATAAATTTTTGCATTTATTGTATCACTTCTAAAACACTTCTTCTACTAGCAAACCTAATCGGTTTGGTTTTAAAATAATAATTACTCATTATTTCTTCATCTTGTTGAACAACAAAATGTATTATTTTGTTCCTAATGGTTTCTGAAATAAATAAATATTTGATTAAGTTAAAAAAATCAAATGATATTTAAATGCGACAAATTATGTATAAAAATGTTCTAAATAGAAATATATTTTGGGTTAAACGTAGCTCATTTATTTAGTGATAAACCGTCTTTGAATTTGATAACACAATTATTATTATATAATATTTATTCTAGATCATAAATAATATTGTAGAAACTAAATTATAATGAAATCATATTATTCGTGTGGGACACTCTTTTGAGAAATATTCTCAAAACAATTCGCATTATTTGAGCTTATTATACCTCGACTTCACCAGTATTGATAATTCCTGGAGTACTCCGGTAAAAACCATTTTTTTTAAAATACAATACACAAAGGCTATTTTGGAAACATTTTGTCATTAAGATTATAGTTCATTAAAATACATCACCTTATAGTCAGGCAAACGGAAAGTATAACAAAACCATAAAAATTATTGTATTAATAATTTTTAGTATGTCTTACTTTCTAAAATATGTCTGTCAATGAGTACGTCTGTAACAAATTATGTATAAAAACTGTAATTAAAACTTAAAAATCTATTATGTAAAAAAAAAATGTACTGACTTGTAAATTTAAGTCTCTTTCTATCTGCTAAATTTTCTGTAAAAAATTTGAATATTGAAGTTTTTTAGTTATTTTAAACCTAAGCCTAAGTACCTTTAGTAAGTGTGTCAGGAGTTCTTGGACGAGGTCTTCTTGGACCATATATTCCACTAGTACTTGCCAAAACATTTAAAAATGGACAGAGCAGTAAAACAAAGAAAACTTTCATTTTCGTCTGTAAATTATAATGCAGATTAAAACATGTTATGTTAGACGGAGGTGTACTTACAATAAAATCTAAACATTTATTGCAGAGTTCCCTATGTATGTTTTTTAACTCCATGTGGGAATATTTCTACTGCATTACGTTTACTTCTTTACATTACTTTGAAATGTTGTTTAAACTTCTGTTGTTTTACACATTCAGGTAATATTAAATTACAGAAAATATTAAAAAAACAATAATTGACAAATTTATACTATTTTTTACAATACTAGTTTCAACAATATTTATTAAGTATCTTTAACAAATGGCGTCAAAGTGTTTAAATCGTTTATAGCGTTTATTTGAAAGTGGTTTTACAACTCTTGTCAAAAATAATTCCTGTATAGCAGTGACCTCTCCGTCCCTATTGCTTTGATCCCATTATGCCTCAGTCCCACTGTACTGGCTTACTAGGGTAAAATTACTTTCAAATATACGATTTGATACGGTCTATGCTATGCGTAGTTATAACCAGAGTTTTGCATAATTCTATTAAAAGATATCTAAATAATTATCTTAATAACAAATTAATCAAATATCTTTTTTTAAAAGTGTATTCGGATAATTTTAAAAATATCATTTAAATAGTGTGTAAGTGTTTTTAAAATGATTATTTCGTAACATTTTACATGTAGAAAATATATAAACCCTGTAAATATAAAAAATAATTTCATATATTACTTACTTTTATAGTTGCAATGATACTCGTAGTTATACTGACTGCTTCAATAGTTTTTTTACGACTGATCAAATGGCTTACATATTGCCGACCGAAACAACAATAACTAGTCGTATTGTGCAGAATTGTTTATGCGAATTTGTTAACATAAGGAATGTTATTCATTTTTCGTTATAAACAACATATTTACATAATTCCGAATCATATTACCAAGTAGAGTATAATATTATATTTGTGTACTAAATACTAAACCTTACAAAACAATTTGTGAGTACGATTACCGAAAACCCAATATTAAAATTACCAGACTCGACTATTTGTTACCCAAGAGAAAAAAATAGAATCAAATTTATATGGGGATAATACATTTTTTTTAACTAGTTAGGAAAACCAATTTAATTTTAATTAGATTAATTAAATGGTGTCCACTCAGATACGTACATTTAATAATTTGGGCGTGTTTAATGTTTGCTAACTTGACTCAGTCTATTTTTGAATTTGTATATCCATCTGACCAAGTGAAATTAATACTTGTATTACAGAATATACACATTTAATGTATGAAAATTAAAAGTAAATAAACTATTTACAAATTTTTCTTTGTAGAAAAATAATATACATTTATGTCAAAACCTGATCTCTACGAGTTACCATCTTTATTCCCGTAACTTGTTGTACACATTTTGATCAGATTATCATATTGGCACCGAGAATCATGAATGGTTTAAAATCACTAATACTATACTTAAATACTCTACAATATACTTATATTGCAAAATCAGTATTTGTTATATTGATGCAATTGTTTTGTAGTTTTCTGATTTTGCATTCATTTTAATGTATAAAGAAGGATCATTTTAATTCATAAAAATTGCATTATTTACAATAATAAAAACTTATTTATTAGTAAAAAAGTAGATACTGAAGTCTGCCCGTTACTGCAGAAAAATTATAAAATAGTGAACTGTTACAAAAATTAGGAAAGCGCAGTTTAAATCTTACAACAGAACAAATTAGGTTATATAAAAATTTAATAATTTGGATAGCAAAAGAATGTACACAATAAAACAAATGAATTTCTTATGCAAAAATTTGATAAAAGAGGATTAAATTACTTATGTCTTGAATTATATGTAAACATCTTCTTTATTTAAAATTTGAGCAATTACAAAACAAGTTAATGCAATATTTTATTTGAAACATAGTACGATTTTTGTTTTTTTAAGAATAGAAGAATATCACTTTTTCATTTAATTAAGTAAAAACGAATATTTCTTTAAAATAACTAAAATTAAATAATATGACACTTTTTTAGCTTTTGGAAAAATACTATAATAGTTGTATAGATTATAGAATAGTTTAAAAACACAATTAATACTGTTATTCATATGATACTAGAATTGTACATATTAGCTTCTTCCATGACTTGTTAATTATAGCATTTAGACACACTATATTTTGTCACTTTGTGTAATACCTATTTAAAAAACATGTCAGGAGATATAATTGAAGTAGGTATTAATCTATTAAGCTCAAATTAAGTTTAAGTATTTACTTTTATATTTCAGCTGTTATTTAGTATCATGACAATGTTGTTTCACTCCTTAATTTGTTTAGCATTATGCAAAACTTTATTAATATTGTCTGCTTTATTGCCAAAAACTTGATATGAACTGTCACGAAGAATAAAGTTCGAACAGTTGATATTTTAGTATGTGTTTTTGTATTTTTGACTAAAACATAAAATATAAGGTATTTAATATTTTATTTAATGTAGCGCATTAGGGTTAAGGGTAGGGGCATATTGAGTTAAGGCTGCCTGTTGATTACAAATCTTTGAGCAACATCATTGTTTAAGTGATAACATAAATTTCAAAATAACGCTTATCTTACGGACACAGCTAATTCGCCTGACAGCTGCAGTGTCCTCTGCGCCACACAATGCCCATATTTAATTTTCATTATTTGAATATTTTGGACTTCTTGATTTGGTTTTTATGAATTATATTACTGCGATTAGTGACTACAACACACAATATAATAACCGGGTCCTACTAAATTTTAAATTACTGTTTGGGGGAATACATTTCTCCCCATTTCTTAAATCAGTAAAGATTTTATTTGTAATTTTTTGTTTATTATTTCAAGATGTTTCAGAAAAAGTGGTAGTATTATGTTCGTTGTTTATAATAAGTATTAAATACAAATTTAAAAATTTATCAGGACCACCTAAGGTAATACCGGTTTGGTACAGTTACATAAATTTATGACATATGGTTATTTTTTCCCTATATTATACTTGTTTTATAAACATAACTTAGTTTTAATGATTTTTTGTAAAACCATTAATCAAGTAAAATGTATCTGAAATCTGCATACTTTAATAAAAGTTGAAAATCCATTGTTTCCTTTTTTTTTTTTTCAAACCCTAGCTGTTTTTAACGGCGACTATTGTAAACAAATGGTAGGTATCACAAACTTTGAATATTATAAGAATCTTCGTATATTACAATGTATGGTTTTAATATCTATTTTTTTATCGAGAACTAGGTGTTTTTCTTAACATGTTTGTTTTGCAGCTGTTTTTGTCTTTAAATGTTTGAACTACTTTATTTCTTGCACGGTAGAATCCTGGTGTTTTAATAATTGTAGCAGATGCCCTGATACGTCTAATTATTAATATTTTACGTGTTACACTTAATAGGCATTTTTAAACAATACTTTTTCTAAAATTTAATAGGTACGACATTTTCCCACAATCCGTGTGGTTTTAAATTGCGCGATTATTTAACAACATGAAAATATGTTAAGCAACCATCTATATTCCCGTAGCTTCAAATTTTTATACATCTTATGTTTTGATTATTTAACATTTATTATAGATACTTATTTTTCTAATTTAGTCCTAATAATATTGAATGACTTATATTATTTAATGTTCAAAACCTTATTTTCTTTAGAATATTATTTTAATGTACGTATATGTGTATATTATCATCAAAAACGGTTTTGAGACATTTTATTTAGTGATTTTAGCCGGGAAGGTTTAGGCTATACAATTGAGTTCTATACAAAATTTACCCTTGCACAAAATTAAAATATATTTTTTTTTTTAAATTATGTTTTTAGCAGGTAAAAATGTACGGAGTCACAAATCACAATTGATGATTAAGAATATTTTTTGTTATTTATTTTGGATTATTACTATACTTTAATTAATAATAAAATATTAAAAATGTAAATTAAAATTTTTAAGTATTTTAACAGAAGAGTAGTTTTATTCATAAAACAAGTTTAATAAAGAAAAAAAATATGATTATACATTAGGGTGGTCGTTAATTTATTTCGACTCTGAGGGGTAAAGTATAGAAATAGTTTTGAAATGTTGAAAATAAATGCCCTAACTTTTTCAGATTTTTGATTTAAGAATAACAGGTGCTGCACAGGGCCTCAAGATTTTTATTGAAATAACATTGTTATTACTTATTTTCCAATAATTGTTTTATTACAACGGCTAACTAACTGCAAACAAATTTTCAACTATGAAGAAATGTCGGGAATTGGTACTGGTACAAATGAGAATGTAGATAAAAGACAATCCAATTAATTTCTAATTTATACAAGCCACTTGTATAACATTTTTTGCTTATTCGATAATATTAATAATGAATACTTCTAAATCCATACTGGTACAATGATATCTACATTATGACTCGTGTTTACATATTATTGTGTACAGGGTTATTCTTTTAGCATGAACCACTCAATATCTCATAGGGTTTAATAAGAAATCAAACTATTTTTTTTGACATTTTCATGTCTTAGCTCTGGCACATAACCCTGGCAAATAACCGAAAAAAGCGTAACGAAAATATTGTAACAAATATTGTATCGCAAATGTGGGGCAACATTCTAAAACGTACTATTTCCAAATTAACAAAATTGAGTTTTATATTTATTCTTACTGGAAAAAATGCGGGAAATCGAATGTTGCCATCAGATTTTACCTAAACGTACCATTACCTTTGTTAAAATCAATTTAAATTCATGAATGACGTCAAAACGCACTATTTCCAAAGGCAAAAGTAAATCAAAAGTTACTTTTTCCAAATTATGTCAAAACGTACTATTGCCCATTTTAAATAGATGATCCATTTGAAAAAATGAAGCAAAACGTACTAATTCCTCAAATTTTTACAAAACGTACTATTTCCAAAGTACACCATAGTGCACTATTTCCCGCAGTACGAAGATAGGGGATTAAATTGAATTAAATCCATAACGTACTATT